GTTTACACATTCATGCCTCACACCCTGCTGCCTTAGGTAGGCTGAACCCGCCAGGCCCCACTAGAACCATGTTAGGTATTCCTTGCACATGTGCCTGGCTCTGCTCATGTGTGGGTGTGGCAAGGCAGGCCGGTGTTGCAGCCAGGCTGAGGTTCGAGGAGGCCTCAGCAAGTGTAGCTCTCCGCTGAAACCCCAGCAGAGTGTAGCACGAACTTGGCATGGAACTGGCCCCTCCAAGCCTGTGTGAGTAACGACAGGTTCCACCTCATCTGTAAAATGGGGAGCATAGTCCTGGTTACCTCTCAGGTCACATATGTACAACCATGGTATGACTCTGGTCAGAACCTATTCAAACCTGTTTCCTCGGCCAAGCGCAGTGGCTCACGCCTGTAATCCCACCACTTTGGGAGGCCAAGGCGGGTGGATCACGAGGTCAGGAGTTTGAGACCAGCCTGGCCAACACGGTGAAACCCCGTCTCTACTAAAAATACAAAAATTAGCCAGGTGTGGCAGGTGCTTGTAATCCCAGCTACTCGGGAGGCTGAGGCAGGAGAATTGCTTGAACCCAGGAGGTGGAGCTTGTAGTGAGCCGAGATTATGCTACTGCACTCCAGCCTGTGTGACAGAGCGAGACTCCATCTCAGAAAAAACAAACAAACAAACAAACCAACAAACAAACAGAACCCTATTTCGTCATCTCCAAAATGGGATAAGAATCAGATTTTCCTTACAGGAAAGTAAGAGCTGGTGGATTGTAGTTGTTCATGGTAGTGATGTATAAAGTCTCTGCAAACACTAAATCATCAAATACTGAACCCTTGTTCCTAAGGGAAATACAAGGCAAGGTTCCTACAAGCCAGTGTCCACACCAATCTACAGATAATCTTTTCTATTTATTTTATTTTTTAAAATTTTATTATTATTGTTATTTTTTCAGATGGAGTCTCACTCTGTCGCCCAGGCTGGAGTGCAGTGGTATGATCTCGGCTCACTGCAACCTCTGTCTCCCAGGTTCAAGCAATTCTCCTGCCTCAGCCTCCTGAGTAGCTGAGATTACAGGTGTGTGCCACCACACCTGGCTAATTTTTGTATTTTTAGTAGAAACGGGGTTTCTCCATGTTGGCCAGGCTGGTCTCAAACTCCTGATCTCAGACGATCCGCCCGCCTAGGCCTCCCAAAGTGCTGGGATTATAGGCACAAGCCACTGCGCCTGGCCTCTTTTTAATTTTTTTAAGAGATGGGGTGTTGCTATGTTGCTCAGGCTAGAATGCAGTGGCTATTCCCAGGCATGGACATAACTCACTACAGCCTCGAACTCCTGGGCTCAAGTGATCCTCCTGACTCAGCCTCTCTAGTAGCTGGAACTACAGGCATGCATCAGCACTCCATAATCTTGTTTCATGTGTGTTTCTGTTTAAAGACCCCTTATTGGCCGGGCACAGTGGCTCATGCCTGTAATCCCAGCTGTTTGGGAGGCCCAGATGGGTGGATCGTCTAAGATCAGGAGTTCGAGACCAGCCTGGCCAACGTGGTGAAACCCCGTCTCTAGTAAAAATACAAAAATGGCCGGGCGCGGTGGCTCAAGCCTGTAATCCTAGCACTTTGGGAGGCCGAGATGGGCGGATCACGAGGTCAGGAGATCAAGACCATCCTGGCTAACACGGTGAAACCCCGTCTCTACTAAAAAATACAAAAAACTAGCCAGGCGAGGTGGCGGGCGCCTGTAGTCCCAGCTACACGGGAGGCTGAGGCAGGAGAATTGCTTGAACCTGAGAGGCGGAGGTTGCAGTGAGCTGGGATGGTGCCACTGCACTCCAGCCTAGGTGACAGAGCAAGACTCCATCTCAATAAATAAATACAAATAAAAAATAAATAAAAATGAAGACTCCTTACTTAATATGTTTATTGTTCACCTATTAACATTGAACTCATGGCCAACAGCACTGTAACTCAAGCCTGCAAGCAGCAGAACGCATGTATTGTCTCCATCAGCCACATCTCAGTCTTCCTATGCTCAGGACTGCTAGATGGCCCTTTAGTGCCATGCTTGGGGCCCACTTTAGACAGTGAAACTGTCAAAAAAAAAAAAAAGGCACAAAAAGCAAAAACTGTGGCACTAAGTAGACTCCAAGGAACAGCGCTTGTTTGTGGCGCAAGAGCTGGAACCAGAAGGCAGAGCGCCACCACCTTCCCACCTCAGCTGGGAACACGTGCATCGAGTAACTCACGTTTTTCACCGTGAATGGCCGCAAATGCCCTGTGAGGGTAGATTTGGGGGTTGCAAATACATTTCGGTGAGTAGGTGAATTTGCAAATACAGAACTGAAAACGATGATTGACTGTAATGCACTTCCAGGGCTGGCCATGGTTGGTCCTCAGCCCTAACTTTTAAGATCGTCTCCCCATCCTGCCAACCACCTCCCTTGGTGGTGACTACAAAAGACAGTGCACCCCCAGGAGGCGGTGGTCATGCTGTCCTCTGAAGCCCCAGCTGGAGTGCAGCATAGAACCTGGCACAGAACTGGCCCCTCCATGCCCGTGTGAATAAAGGCAGGTCTCAGCCTTTGACTCTGAGCCGTCATCTGTGAAATGGGGAGATTAGGCCTTTCTACCTCCCAGGGTGCAGAGACCACCTTGGAAGCAGGTGCCTGGAAAGGGCCAGGACCCCCTTGGTAGATGCTACAGAAACACCTTCAAGACAAAAGACAGGCAAGATGACCATTGTTTCAAGGGTGGTGAGGGTTGTCTCTGCTTCCCCTTCCACCCCACCCAAGACACAGACCCAAGGCCGGCAGCCCCCTGCGGAATTGAATGTCAAGCCACTTTCTGGCCATTAATCTCTAAGCATCTATCAGGCCCATTTGCTTCAGCCCATCTTAAAAAACCCCAGCTGGGCCCTAGTGGACCAGAAGTGGGGCTGGGAGACAGTGAGGCTGTAGCCAGCTAGAAGCCGCGACTCTGAGGTGACCCACGTTCTCGCAGACCAGGCACTGCACTGTGCCGTCTGTATCCCAGCCGACCCTACTGTGGGGGCTCTGGGACATCATGGCTGGTCCCCACTTTCGAGTGACACTGGAAAGATGGTGCGTCCTACCTGATGAGAGGCCAGGGGTACTGACTGAGGCCCGTTGGCTGAGAACTCCTCAACCCCAGCCCAAACTTCTGGGTGGGGCTGGGATCGGCTCAGCAGGGTCCTTGATGAATCCTGAACTTGGGAGGCTGGCAGAGACCCAGTAGGCATGGGCGGTGGCGGGTGGGGGTGGGGCATGCATTCAGAAGACAGACTGGGCAGCCGCCCGCCCCGCCTCCCCGACCCGGACTGCCCTTACAGTGATGACCATGCATCTTTCTTAATGGAACACAACCGCTGAACTTGGTACATTTCAAGCACTTTAGCCTTCCAGTACACCAGACTGCTGATGAAAATCGTCTTCCTTGGGCGCCATGTTAATGAGAGGCCAAATTTCATATGCTTGCAAACTTTCCCCCCTGCCTCCTGTGGTACTACACCCCCCTCCCCCCAGTAAAAGATTGCATCAGAGAGAGAGATTTCCATAATTTATAGTATGGGCATTTCACTGGGGACAAGCGCTAATCTGTACTTACCGATACATTTAAGAAAATGCATCCTCCGCAAGCCTGCACCATTTATGACTCTTGGCACAAACCGCAATGCTCAGTCTTCAATTAAGGGACACCTTAGGGTTCATTATCACACAATCGCTCCCTGTGAACCATGCCAAATGCTGTTTTGGCACAGAGCTTGGAAGATGAATTAGAAGGAAGTCTTCTCTGTAATGCCCTCTCCCGAATTCCCATTACCGTCATCAGCGTTTACGCCCTCCTCCCACTCGGCCCCCTCCCCCCACTTTCCAAGTGCCTTTTACTATTCAATTTCTCAACGTCAAACTCGATTCTCTAGAGGTGCAGTTAAAAATGCCACATCTCCTTTTTGTCTTCCGGCTCTCAACAGGCCTGCCATGGCCGCAGATGGGCTGCTCTCCACACCCCTTTTCGGCCTGAAGGAGCCACAGATGCTTTTTTTCCCCTCCCGTCAGAGCTTGGAGTACAGACAAGCGGCCAGTATTGGCCAGGCACACCCCAGCAAGCCCCGTTCGGGATTGAAACAGGTCCCTGCATCTAAGTAGAGGCGACCCGCACAGAAAGGCTGAGGGCGAAGGCAGGGCCCGCTCAGACATGAAAGCAGACACTGCTCAAAGCCAGTCACCCCAACCAACGGGACACTAGGTTAAAAAAAAAAAAGGCGAAGGCTGGTGTTCTCTATTCCTTAATGCTCTTCCAAGTCGGAGGCCCACACTGTCGCCACGAGTCCTAAGACCACAGAACTGTAACTCAACCCCTCTGGGGAAGGACGCCCCATTTGTTTCTTCATGAAAGGAAGGATAGAATGAGCACGTGTGCTGACGCCTCCTAGCCCTCCTGGCAATCTGGCATCCCACCGTGGGCACGGGGCTGAGAGCGAGAAAGCACCACCGCCAGAGCCACAGGTGAGGCTGGGGACAAGGAGGCGGGGGTTGCAGGCAGCAACAGTCAGGGAAACCGCACCGCGCCTAGGGCAGCCCACCTACATTTATAGGCGAGTGTGTGTGCATGGGCATGCCGGGAAGGGGAGCGGGCGGAGGGCAAGGGGCTGCCCAGTCAGTCGCAGAAGCCCGCTGACCCGCCGCGCGCCCTTCAATGCATCTCCCAGCTCCATCCGATGACACTCCCGTACTGACTTCTCATTTAGAGATGCCTGGCTGTGACGGAAGGGGAGCTGAGCCCAACCACGGCACTCAAGTCAAGCTGTCAAATCAAAGCCATTAAAATAAAATTAGCTTAACGAACTAGCTAGACATCCAGGCTGTGCACCAGCGAAGGCGGGCGGACGCAGTGCAAGACGATGGGCGAGGCCCGCAGGAACCCTCTTTCCCTCTCGCGCGGCAGCGGGCAGGGGGCAGAGGGACAAACTGGCGAATAGAAGGCAAACAGGCCAGAAAGACTTTGCCCACAAGATGTCTTGTGGAAATTTTATTATATAGAGTGTAAAATGAATTGTCAGTCAAATAAAAAGAACACTTTTTTTCTTAAAAACCACATGCATAACATTTTCCAATTGTCTTTTTTAATAGTTAGACATTTCAAGCATTATAAGAAAAATAAGGAGAAAAAACCAGAAACTGTAACTTCAGTACATTTCAAACGGAATGTCCCTCAGGTCAATTAGAAATGCAAGAAAAAATAGCTTCAATTCCGTTTTTTTTCCTTTAAAAATACATGTTATCTGTACAAGATACACTACAGTAAACACTGGAAATCATATTATCCCTTTTATTAAATCAAAATTATTTAATTCATAATGCGGTTAATACTAATTTATTCATCTAGTTAATCTGACAAAATATTAAGAAAATATTTAAAAGAAAAGAGCAAACACCACCTTGGAATTAAAAATAGTTATAACTACATTTTTATACGGTTTAATGTTCCACAGTGTGTGTTAAAAGTTATATTGAATTTCTTAATATTAAAAATAACAGTATTTATATTTCTGAGAGAATAGAGAAAGGTTTTTTGTTTTGTTTTAAAAACAAGCTTGGAGGTCTTAGATACACAGTTGCGACTGGTAATGGAGACATGAAACAAACGTATGCTAAACACACGAACACATTTTTATATTACCCCTTTAGAACTCTAGAAATTATACAAACCCTACAAAATGCCCCTCCCAACCCCTGTTGGACAGCAATACAATTATCTGTCTCAATTCAGAATTCACATCATTCATTACAATACATAATAGTTCAGTTTTTTAAAAAATGCAATAAAACCAGACAGCCAAGATACAACAAATTAGAAGTAAAACATTAAATGAATTTACACATTTAAGAATACTTAAATACTGCTTTAAAATTTTTAAAAAGAATTTGTTACATACCACCTAAGACTTCCAAGCCACTTTCTGTTGCAACAGAAAAAACTGCAAATAAAAAGGACACAAAACAAAACAAAACAAAACCGAAACCATCATGTTGAAATGTCACAGCTCTGAGGCACGTTCTGGTGCCTGACTTTGTAGGTATTGCTCCAAAAAGAATCCCAGAGCTTATACATTTGAAATAACAAAAATAATGAAACAAAAATGATGAGCAATTTTTAGTAACTAATTTTCCCGATTTTTAGAAAAATTCCGTTAATCTAAATATAGTGTTTCACAGAACAAAACAACGGTTCTTCATCAAAAGGTCTGCGAATGTAAAAACCTCTGTTACAAATAGGTTTTCTTTGACAATGATTTTGAAGGAAAGTTGGCCACGAGGACACTGTCCTACTGCTCCTGTGGGCGGAAGGGAAGAGGAATTAGTCTGTGATGGCAGGTTCTCAGGTCTGCGTGCCAGTGAGGAGGTGACAGGCCACCCTCTCCCTTCTGGCGCCATGCCGGCACCGACACACACAGACAGGGCCGTGTCCCAGCACCTCCCCTGGGTCTCGCGTCACGGGAGCTGGGCCAGACAAAACCTCTGCTGAAGAGGTGGTCTTGGGCTTCTCTCTCTGCTAGGGACTCGGGGCAGGGAAGAGCGGACAGTGTGAGCCGCTGTCGCCACCAGCCCTGACACCTGTTTCCCCAGGACCAGACCCAGACGGCCAATTTGGCAGTGAGTGGCCTACGCAGCTGAGTCCAGGGCCAGGAGGTAACTGAAATGTTATCCATGAGGACCTGACTCGCAGCAGGTGGGAAATGCGCCCTGTGGGAACATTTGGACGTCTTCCCTTCTTTAATAAGAAATCCGTTTTTGGCCTCTGAACAGAACCCTCTAGGTTGTGCGCAGAAGAGGAAAGCTGGGCTCTGCCCCCACTGCCCTCTCCCTGCCTCGTGCTGCTGCCCGGGCATGGCTGACGGCCTGGCCACTCCACCCTGCTCGGGAGCAGCCGCTGGAGCGCACCCTCTGCACACGTTCCTTTACAGTCAGGGAAGCTGAGGCTTAGAGGAAGACCGAGACTACTCATCAGCCCTGAGGTCTGGGGCCCGGACTTGAGAAAAGATCAGGCAGTTCCTTGCAGGGGCTGCACCACCAATCCTCCCACTTGGCCTACACTCTCTTTCTCTGGAGCGAGGAGGGACAGAGGGGCTGGAGCCAGGCTCTCAGCAGATGCAGCCTCGCTGAGGAGCTGCGGGGCCCAGAGGCTCCTCCTAGCCCAGTGCTCTCATCCTGGGGTCAGGAAACACAGGTTTGGGAACAGGGGCTTGGGGCTAGGGAGTGGCTGCGGGGCTGGTGATTAGCTACAGACCTGGCTGTGGGCCTGCGCCTGCCCTAATGTCTGTCCGTAGAAAGCGACCTGCTGTCTGTAATATTCTGCCCAGGCCATTGTGTAGTCCGGTGGGGAGCTGGCCTGAGGAGCAGCACTGGCGGCGTGACCTGGTTGACAAAGGAGGAAACAGGTTATCGGGAGCAGGGGAGCACTAGGTAGGGCCCTTCCCAAAGGCCCTGGGCATCTGCTCTCCCTCCGGACGGCTGGAAGGCAGGGAGGTCTGGGAGGTGGTGCAGCGAGGCTGGCGCTGCAGGAGTGCTTGCTACAAAAGGTGCGGTTAGCCTTTTGTTGCCCGGCCCCTGCTATGCCTGTGAAGACCAAGTCTCACGTCTGCCTTCTCTCTGCGGAAGCGCGTTCTCTGCATCTGCCTGCCCCTTCAGCTCCCGGGCCCGTGACAGAGACAGAAGGCGGGATTCTGGGTTGGGGGTGGGGGAGAAGGGGAGTGCCTAGCTTGGGTGCCTGTGACAGCGTCCAAATCCTGTAAACAGCTTGAACACAGGCCCAGGTGTGTCTGGGAATCGGGATTTGGGGAAGACTGGGCAGCTGAGCTTACACCAGGTCCCCTGGTGACCGTGACTGAACACCCTCGCCTCCAACCCCTAGAAGGGCCATGAACCCGGCAATGATTCCAACACCAGGGGACCATTTCTCTGGTGGCCTTCAACCCGCTCTCTTCCAACCAGCAAGAAACAGCCTCCAAACACAAGGCACGGGAGATACCGCTTTAAACAAATCCCCAACCCTCCGGTCTAGCAATGGTGGAAATACGCAGAGTCTGGCACTAACTTTAGATGACTCCCCAGAGACCTTTGGCTTGTGGGTCCCTCGCCCTGCTCTGAAGGCTGGTTTCGTTTCTGGTAGTTAGAAAACTGACCTACTAAAGAGGAGAAACGAAGCACCCAGCTTCAATGTCCAGGTAAGGCCTCCTTCCCTGAGTCTCACCACCTTTCCTCATCTGCCCTGAAGCACCGAGACAGAGAACAAGACGCCCGGCTGGTCTGTTTGCTGGCCAGGTGGCACCCCACCCGAATCTTTCCGTCCCTAAGGAGACCAGACGCCAGGTGAGCCCACACTTCCAGGTGCCACGCCTACCTCGAAGTCCTTTGGAGCCCAGCAGGGGGAGAACTAAGAGGAGGGGACGGCAGGCCTGTGCCGGGTCGCAGGGCAGCCTGTGGTCACTGACTGACTATGCCTGGACTCCTGACAGAGAGAAGCAGGCAGGCACAGGGGTGGAGGACGAAGGCAAATAATGAGATCAAGCCACACGGGGAAGGCATTAGGGAAAAAAGAGGTGACAGCGAGCCTTGGACTCTGAAGTCTCCGGGCTAGAGGGGACTGTGCTGCCGGGAGCCACAGGTTAGGAGGGCCGGGCACTCACTCTGTTTTTTGTAATAGTCTTCCCAGGCCTTGCTGTAGCTGGGCTGGCTGCTCTGCGGCTGGCTCTGCTGGCCTGTGCGAAGAACACAAAAGCAGTCAGGCCTTCCGGGCTCCTCACAGCCTCGGCCCCAGCCCGCCAACTGCAGGCCCTGCCCTGCACTCCTCCACCTCGCTCCTGGCCACAGACGGTTCCACAGCCCTGCCTAGGAAGGAGGCGGCAGCTGGCAGGGCTGGGAGGGGTGTAACTAAGATCACTGTAAGGGTGGGGCTGGGCAGACCGGCTGCCCCTCACAGGGCAACTAGCAAGGCTAGCCTGACCCTCTTCAGATGGAGACATGAGATGTGGGTCCACAGATGGGGGCTTGAGGGCCACAGCCACTGTTGTTTTGAGGCTCCCCAGTCAGCCTTCCAAAGGACAAACACTCCAGAGGCTGCTGACCACTCTTCGCGTGGCCCTCTGTTCAAGATCTGGGGGCTGTGCCTCTGGACCAGCGGAAGTGGAGGGGTCACGCAGTGCAGGGGTGGGCAGCACCGTGGGCTCCTGGACCCTGTCCAGCCTGAGGCTGTGCTGGGGTAGGGCAGAGGGAAAGAGGATGCACGTGTCGGGGTGGTCCAGCCCTTCTCCTCCATGCAGGACCCTGGGTTCACCGTCTAGGCTGTGGGGCAATGAAGACTGGGAGGGGCAGAGAAACAGCCGGCGCCCGGAAGCACAGCCTCAGCACCGCGCCAGGCACAAGACGGGGTTCAAAGACTTGACCACAGCAGTGGGTCAGGACCTTTCCTTCTGCCCAGGCTGGGGCTGGCTCAGGTGTCCACCTGCCAAGGCCCACAAAAGACCCCCTCAGTGTCTTGTCTCCTGTGAGGATTGTAGCCTGAAGCAGGCAGGAAGGGCAAACCACTGCAGAGCGCGCGCAGCCAAATGCTTTCTCCGCCAGTTCACTTTACTGCAGGCTGAGGAGCAGTGTGGGGAAGCAGCAAGCAGCGGGGGGAAGGAGGAAAGGAGATGCCCCGCTTCCTCCCACAGGGGCAGGGCGAAGGAGGGACACAGGCAGCAAACACTCTTCCCTCGGACACAGAGGGCGCCAGCAAGCAGGACTTCACTGCCAAACAGTATTTCACCAATCCAAACTGGTTCTCAACTGCAAAACCCCGGAATAAACAAATGAGCCAAGCTCAACAACATGAGATGAAGGCTGCCCAAGGGTGGAAAGACCACTGGGCGCCTCCTGCGCTCTCCCTTCCTCAGCCCAACAGGCCTCTGCCAGTTTCACCCGCCAGGGGGCCGTTTCCCCTGAAGGCCTCCCAGGCCTCACGTCTCCAGAGTCAATCCTGGCCACCTTGCTGCCTGGAGGATTCTCTCAGACCAGAAGAGCACCCAAAGGCCCCGGCACTGTGAGTGCAGCTCCCACCGAGACGTGAGGAGCCAAGGAAAGGAAACAGGGTCAGCTCCCATGGTCAAGCATGCAGAGAGAAAAGGAATGGTGGGATCTGGGTGCTGTGTGGGTGCTCACTGCAGTATTCTATGATGTTTGAAACGTTTCATAATAAGATACTGGGGAAAAAAGGGAAGAAACACAACTATACAATTTCAGAGCATGCAAGTGCTTTAGAATTCAAACCCAAACCCTTGATTTTACATGTGACAGAAGTGGAGCTCCAGAGAAGGCAGGGCGTGCCTAAGGCCACACAGCACTGGCCTCAGGACTCTGTGTAAGGCTAAAGTGGCAGAACCCCAGAAAGGGGGCTCGGGGGCTCAGGCCCTCCGAGCCAGGCTGTGAGGCGGGGCCTGCGGCCTGGGTGCTGTCAGAATCTGCAGACACTGAAGAAGCCTTTCCAAACACAGGACAGAAATTCCAGATGGGTCAAGAGAACCTGGATCGTACTAAGGTAAGCGTTCTGCTTTGCTTTGTGAAGGCCACGCCAGAGGAGCTAGACCAGCTCTGAAACCCAACAGTGGCTCCTGAAGCGGCTGTGGGGACAGAGTGGGCGGGGCTTTGATTCCCACCCGGACTTCCTCCTTCACAACCAGTCTCCCCGGAGAGGTGGGACGCAGCAGAGGTCATTCCCTAGCTGTTTGCTTCTGAAAAGTTCAGGAGATGACAGCCTGAGAGGGGAGAGGAAGGCAGCCAGGAGCCAGCCCCCACAGGGAGTGGAGAAGAGGAGGGGCAGAAGCTGGCTCAACCCACACCCACAGCCCATCCATGCATGGGGAACAAAAGTGACAGAGGCCCAGAGCTCTGAGGAGGACAGGTGGGCCAAGAGGGCTAGCCCAGAGTCCCCAGTCCGCCTGAGGTTTGTGCAGTTTCCCTCTGGGCCTTTCTCTGAGCATGCGCAACCCCCGGGACAGGCCTACAGGAAGCCCCAAGCCCCACCCGGAGGGCTCCTTGTCATTTGGGGAGGGGCATCCTGGGCCTGCGGGCTGAGTTGAGTGGGGGCATTTTGGCCCCAGGACTTCTGTGGGTCCCAGCCTTTCTGGAGGGCATGCACTCCCCACCCCGAGTCACTTACTTGGGACCTGCTGTGTGGGCTGCTGCCACGCCTGGTAGGTGCTGCCCCAGCCCTGGGTCAGAAAGGCCGGAGGACCACTGTGGATGACAAGAGAGTCACTCATTCCTATAGAGGGCAAGTCACCCGTCATCTCCCTCTTCACTGCTCACCTCCCTCACCCCAGCCAAGCATCACTGGACCCTTGCCTGTCAGCAGTAGCCAAGTGATCACCCTAGTCCCGTCTATTCCCAGCTGAGTCACAGCAGGTCACCTACCTCACGGGGGTGCTGTGGGGGTTCCCGTTCACCTTGGCAGCCATGTTTGGGAAGCACCCGGAGCTCCTCGGAGGAAAGGTACTGGGAAAAGGTGAAAGAAACAACAGACTGAGCGCCTCACATGGAGGGCTCGGCCCCTTCCCCCAGCCACAGGGCACTGAGGGGGCGGTCAGGACGGAAGACCCTCTGCCCTCTGGGAGACTCCCATCCCACTGAGGAGGTCAGTGAGTGACAGGCTGGAGGGACCACTGGTGAGACGAAAAGAAATGAGTCCTGCCCACGCCCAGAACTTCAGGCCTTGGCTGGCGCTCCCTAGAAGCAGCTGGAAAGGACAGGGGATCTCTTGGGAGCGAGGGAATTTTCCCGGGCAAGACGGATGCAAAAGACTCACTTTTGATGAGGTGGGGCAGGTGGCTGGCTGAAGGGACTCTGTCCGAAGGCTCCAGGTGCTCCGAGATTGGTCCCCTGTGGGGGCACAGAGGGAGCTCTCACCCGCTGTTGGCTGCACACCTCCGTCCTCTGCCCAGGCCCGCCCCGAGGCAAAGCCCAGCTATTGGGGGGATGGAGTCGAGTGAAGTCAGGACACCTACGCACTCACACTAGCCTTCCTTCCCACAGCAGGCTGCACTGCAGAAATGGCTTCTGCCCTCCAGCGACCAATACCACCACACAGCCAGTCCTGGCACCACCACAACTGCCCTGGTATATCACCCTGGGGGTAGGGACCAACCTGCTTGACTCTCCCGTCAACTTAGGCTGGCCCAAGGCTCTTTCTGCCATTCTACGTCCCCATTGAGGTGAGCAGTGGCCCATCTGTCCTCCATCAACACTCCCTTTCTTTATCTGCCTTGAGGTGCCTGAAACTAAAGCCAGAGTCAATGAAAGCTGCCTGCTGGGCTGGCCGCCAGGGCAATGCCAGCGGAGTCCCGGGGCAGCGCTGGGGGGAGGCTGCTGCCCCAGCTGCTCATCTAAGCCTGCAGGGGAACGGCTCTGGGGCCTCGGCTGCTGCGGCCTTGGTGAGTCCTGCCAGGCTTCCTTCATTGCTTCTGGGCCTGGCTCTGGCACTCCCTGGGTCTCCGACCCTCCCCTTCGGCAAAGCAGGAGGGGGCTTGCCCTCATGTGATGTGAGAACCCACAGGCACAAGCAGCGCAAGGTTGCGGGAAAAGCTGGTACCTTGGACATCCAAAAGCAAACAGCTATGAGTAAGCCAGGTGGGGGAAGGACCTTGTACGTACGCCAACTTTCTCATCTATGAGCTGCCTGGCCACCTCGATCTGCTGGGGAACCCCCCTGATGGTGAATCTCCGCAGGTTGGGGTCGCTGTTGGGAGGGGGGTTCCTCTGAAGCTCCACGTGCGCCCCTGACTGCTGGTTGATGCTTTTGATGTTCTCACCCCCTGTGGACAGCAGAACACAAACCGAAGAGTAAGCCGCTACTGTGGCAACCCGAGGCTCTGGGCACTTGGCTCCAGAAGAGGACTCGGGGGGATTTTGTGCACGTCGGCACTTGTCCCGACAGTAGAGAAGTACTCTCTCTTTACTCCAAAGTGGTTGTAACTAAACCCAGGGCTCTCTCACCTGCAAAACTAGCTGTTTGGAGTGAAGCTGGACTTCCTCTCAAAGCCAAGCTGAGGCCACAGATGCCATGTGAAACCTCCATGTGGAGGCCCTGAGTGGCCCAGTGACCAGGTCTGGCTGAGGCCCGTGGGTCTACACCATGGAGCTCACCCCTGGGGGCCAGCTGTGGGGCTCCTGCCCAGCCAGGGATGGCACTGCCCTTCTTAGCACAACAATGGTGAGCCAAGGGCCCCTCTATGACAATGGGGCCTTCAGCCTGGCTGTGGGCAACTGTCTCCATAGGCCAAACAGACCACAGGCCCAAACATGCCTGGAGTCCGCTCGGGCCTTCAGTATCCCACCCTGTCACTTCTCAAGTCCCTGCCTCCTCCATGGGGTGGGCAGGTCTAGCCAGGCAGTGCAAGGATGGGGTGGAGGCCACAGAGACCTGGGTGGAGCAGGGCTAGTGAAAATTTAGTTGGTCTCTTTCAAAAACCTGTGAGAGTCTCAGTCTCTTAATGAAATTTGCGTAATAAAAGCTCCAGCAGTGTAACAATAGTTGGATTCTTCTGAAATTCACAGAACTTGCAGATCTGCTCTGCTCAACTCCGTGGGGGATGGAGGGTTGCTAAGAGGAGCCGGAATACAAGGGTAACTTGGAGCACAGAGTTTGGAAAAGTGGAGAAAAAGGTAATCTGCTCCAAAGCTGGTATAGGGCAGCAGTGAGCCCGGTGATCAAAAGCAAAGGCCAGGGGCCAGTGTCGGCCCCTCCTCTGCCCACAGTCAAAACAGGCCCTAAATGCCATGTGCCACCTCACCAAGACACCATCCCCACAATCCACCAAACACTCCCAGCTTCCCTCCACCCACTGCCAGAAAAGCCCTGTCTCAACAGCCTAGCAGGCCAGTCGGGAGGGGACGCTAAAGGCAGACACAAGCTGCATCTTGTCAGGACTCTATAGGGGTCAAGGAATGAAGAAGGAGACTTCAGGTGGTCCTTACTGAAGGCAGCGGGGGCAGCCCTTACAGGGGAGAAAAGACGCTGGGAGACACGGCATGCAGATAAGGTCACATGCAGAAGAGGTTAAGTTTAGGGTGGTTTTAAATTTAAAAAACCAATAAAATCAAATGTTGTGCTTGTGATTTCCTTAAAGTCCTGCTGGAGATTCAGAAAAGCATCCCTGCATTTTCTATCCTGGCCAGGACCCGTATGTCTGGGGACACACCAGGCCAACGCCCACAGCTCTGATTTCCTCTGGGCCGGTGCAAGCCCCTCCTAGGCGACCTTTACCTCTGCTCTTTACTCAGAGGCCATGGATTTTATCTTCTCTGCGCCATGAAAAGCGGGATCCAAGGCAATGGTTTTTGGAGAGCAATAAAGAATAGAGACTTGGCCAGGCGCAGTGGCTCACGCCTGTAATCCCAGCACTTTGGGAAGCCAAGGCGGGCGGATCACCTGAGGTTGGGAGTTTGAGACCAGCCTGACCAACATGGAGAAACCCCATCTCTACTAAAAATGCAAAATTAGCTGGGTGTGATGGCACATGCCTGTAATCCAAGCTACTTGGGAGGCTGAGGCAGTAGAATCGCTTTAACCCAGGAGGCGGAGGTTGCGCTGAGCTGAGATCACGACACTGCACTCCAGCTTAGGCAATAAGAGTGAAACTCCATCTCAAAAAAAATAATAATAATAAAATAAAAAAGAATAGAAACTAAAATGGAGACCATTTCCCCAGGCACACCTAAGACTCGAGGGAACCCTACCAGCCTCCACCCAGATCCACTTGGTCTGGAGGCAAAAGCACAAAGACATGAGTGTCTGCGACTGAGAATCCTGCGGTCCCCAGACAGCCGAGGCCCCAGCCCTCCCCACTGGGCCCTGGGACCCTCGTCCCCAGGCCTTGGGAACATGCTAATAAGGTGAGGAGGCACCACAAAACCTTGTGGGGCCGGAAGGAGTTAATTTAAGTTCATCTTCTTTCAAAATGAGGTCACTAGCTTGGCACATGGTGGCTGTCTATAGACTCATTCAGCAGCCCGCTCCATTCTTCTACCTGATGGGGGGCAGAAGCGCCCCACCAGTGGCCCCCCGGCTGGACGTGAAATCGTAAAGCAATTAATCAAACCTGCTAAAAGGCCTGGCTGACAAGAGCAGGCTGGCTGCGCTATCTGTCAATGTTGCTGTGTTTATCATGGAAATCCAGCAGGGGCCAGGGAGGCTCTGTGTCTGTCCAGGCCAGAGGCCAAGGAAAGCTGGGCCTGACTGCGTGCGGCTCCTCTCTCCCTTACCCAGGCGCGCCCATCTCAAGGAAAAGAGAGGCCTCACACGGGCCCCGAGGCGGGGGTGTGTGTGTGTGTGTGTGTGTGTGTGTGTGTGAGACACAGAAAGATCCTCCCATATCCGAGACACTTATTAGGCCTCTTTAGGCTGCTACTCAAGCATGGGACACAGACCAGTTACTGCTTCGTTCTCATCACTGTTCTCTAGGAATCACTCAGGACGACTCTGTGAAGGACCAACTACAAGGGGCTGCTCTGTGAGCACCAAGGGTTCACTGTGAGAACCTGTCATGGTGAGGCAACAATGCTCGCTCAGGGTTTAGAGACACAAGCAAATGAAAACTTCGCTGACAAAATGGTTTGCAAAAGGCCAAGAAATCTAGATCTAGCTAATCCTCAACCTACAGGCATCAACTAGCTGCAGTCTCACAGCGGTCAGGCTGGCAGTCTGCGCAGTGTGAGACTTCTGGCAGCATCTGGTGCAGCCCGCGATATCCCAAACACTCACCAGCCCGCACACCTGTCGGCAGATGAACACAAACCCATATTGTTTCTACCACCTCTGAGTGGTTCAGCATCTAAAAGACAACACAGTTTCTTGCATTTTGCAAGAGCATAAAGCCCACAGTGTCCGTGAGCTGGGACAAGGGCAGCTCCTGGGACGTGAGTGTGGGGGGCTCCCACCTGCCCAGCTCTGGAGGTCTCTGCTGGTGAGGCATCCCCAAGTCCTGCCTATCCAATACGAGTGCCCCTCAGGCAGCTAAGAGGTATTTGGTGATCACAGAAATGTGAGAAACTCTGGAGAGGCGACTGTCCTCTCCACCTGCTGTCAAATACCTAATGAAGGCAACTACGAAACCCAGAGACAACGGAGGCCCCGCTGGCCATGAGGCCTGGCTCAGAGCCCCCCGGAAGCCGAGCCCACTGCCACACTGGGAAAGGCCCCACAGCCTCAGCCCTGGTCTCCGTAGCCTTTCTGGGTCCCAGGGCCAGCCAAGATGAACTGCTGCCAATGGCTGAGAAATATGGCTGCTCTCTCCCGGTTCTCAGTGAAGGACAGGAAGGAGCTACAGTAGCCATGAATGAGGGTTTCTTCCTAATGTTCTCCAAAATGCCCAGAAAAAACGAACGAATCAATGTTTATTTCCCTCCACAGAGAGTCCGGGACTCACAGTAAGTATGCAGAAAGGATAAAAACCATTTTCACCTGTTGTGCGGATCAAGACCAAATACTCAAACCTGGTAAGGGAAAGCAGTGACACAGTCGAGAAGGGATTTTCACTGAGGATATTGTCTCAACCATCCCTCTAAGTTCCTTGTCCCTCTAAGCTCCTTTGAGGTGAGTTAATTACCCATCGGTCGACTGACAAAGGCCCCCCACCTTGCGCAGGGTATCTTTTCACCAAGCTAAGCTGCCCTCAACAGGCAAGGGGTTTTACTGCTGTCTTCTTCATATTCACAGGAAAAAATTCACTTTGCCCCTCAAAACAGGCCCGTCAGCAGCCTCAGAGAACCATGCCCAGCAGGGTTTCAGCAGCCCCAGCCTGCAGCAGCAAAGGGACTTCACCCAAGGTTCTGGAGGCCCGCTGACCTGCCTTCCCTCAAGCCAAACAGCTGAACGGGGATGTGAAACCCCAGCTGCCTCTTACCTTTGCCTATGACAAGGCCACACTTATCGGCTGGCACCGTGTATGTTATCTCCTGGACGCCACCAGGGGCTCCCACGCTCCAGTCGCCACGGCCACGACCTCTTCCTCTGGCTGCTGCCAGGCCTCCAAAGCCGTCTCTTTCCTGGAAAGATCACAGAGCTCTCGTGACCTCTGCCACTGCCACAGCACCACTGCTCCTCCTCTCCAGGGAGGAGGTTAAGTGACAGGATGCAATCAATGCCACCCATGAGAACCTAGCACCTTTCCACACTTCCCATTCTGAAGGGCTCTTTCAAGCCAGTATTGACACCAATCACGGGTGTATCCGGGGAGGGCCTGTGCAGACGAACACGCATGGTTACATAAACAGCTCCAATGTACCCAACAGAAACAGGCAGATACAAACTCCAAGGCTGAAGCCCAGTGGCCTTTCTCCCTGGAGCTTTCCTCACTGGGCCCCGATCTACAGGCATCAAGAGCCGGTTTCTCCCCTGCAGCTGAGGCCCCTCTTTTCCATGGCAGACACATACTGGGCCTGTGGGAAGCCAGGTGCGCAGAGCCTGCTGACCCGCCCCGACCGGGCACTGCTGAGCCACAACACCTGGCACTCCAATCAGCAAGAAGGGTAAATGGATTTTATTCAGTTTTAGAAAACTTCTTGGTGGTTGTGCCCCCAAGCAGCAGCAGCAACAGGTTCGAGGGTGACCATTTGGGGCTACTTTAGAAGGGAGGAACAGAGGGAACCGGCCAGGGCCTCCTCCCCATGCGGGGCTGGAGAAGTCTCTGACTCATTCTCCCACTGTTCGCCCAGCAGAGAGAAAAACCTAAATCTACCAGCTGACAGAGGAAGAACCCTTTCATTCAGACGGCAGCAAGTCTCATTCCAGCTGCTGTCTGCTGAGTCATTTAAACTCAGCTGGAGCTGCGGTATTTAAACTCTCTTAAATGTGGAGGGTGAACCTGGTCAACCTAAGAGCTATTTCATGGAAGGGAGACGCTGCAGACTTTTCAACACACTGAAGAAATGTTGGGCAAAACCTGCTCGTGTCGATTAAGAGTAAACTGAACGTTTACCCAGAATCTAAACCAGCAGAAAGCGGAGACAACTGGAGTGCTCTTCCCCCGCACTCTGCTTTTATGAGAGACAACTGCCGAGTAAACAAGGCAATTTTAGGAATTTATGTTCACACATGCACACGAGCGCACAGTCAACTTTCTGGGCATGGCACAGATCTCAAGGAAAAGGTTTTCTCCCAAACATCTCACAGCCTCTGCAGCACAAGGTTCATAAACTTTTTTTATTTTCTTTTTTGAGAGATTTTTGCTCGTCGCCCAGGCTGGAGTGCAAAGTGGGATCCCGGCTCCCTGCAATCTCCGCCTCCTGGGTTCAAGCGATTCTCCTGCCTCAGCCTCCTGAGTAGCTGAAACTATAGGCATGCGCCACCACACCTGGCTAATTTTGTATTTTTAGTAGGGACGGGTTTCACCATGTTGGTCTTGAACTCCTGAGCTCAGGATCCACCCGCCTCAGTCTCCTAAAGTGCTAGGATTACAGGCGTGAGCCACCACGTCCAGCTAATTTTGTATTTTCAGTAGAGACAGGGGTTTCACCATGTTGGTCAGGCTGGTCTCGAACTCCTGACCTCAGGTGATCTGCTTGCCTCGGCCTCCCAAAGTGCTGGGATTACAAGAGTGAGCCACGGCGCCTGGCCAAGGTTCATAAACTCTTGCCACAAAAAAGGATGCCAGAGATCATTTAGAGCAGGGGTGTGCAATCTTTTGCTTCCCTGGGCCACACTGGAAGGCGGCTTGTCCTAGGCCACCCATAAAATACACTAACACTAATCATAGCTGATGAGCTTTAAAAAAAAAAAAAAAAAAAAAATCACACAAAATATCTCCTAACATTTTAAGAAAGTTTATGAATTTGCGTTGGGCTGCATTTAATGCTGTTCCTGGGCTGCGTGCAGCCCACAGGCTGAACAAGCTTGATTTAGTGGCTGTTTCATAAACTTGTCTAATCCTAAGAATTGCCTGGGTCTCTAGTGAAGACCCAAGACCCTCCCCTGGAAATTCTGATTCAGTAGATCTGGGGTGGGGGCTACACATTTGTAATTTGAGTAAGAACCACCAGATGGCTCTTAGGGGATCACATGGAGAGCACTGCCTGGCACAAAGCACCCCGAGTCTGCTGCTGGGAACACCAGACCCAGAGGTTCAAAGGCTGCTCCAAGGTCACATGACTGATACCAGAGCTGGGAGTATAATTTCCAATCTCTTGCTTTATTCTTCCGTTCTGGTCTTTCTCAAATGTGTCCTCAGTCCTACCATCAGTTACAGGGGTTCCTAGCACTGTCACACAGGCTCACAGCTGGGCTCACAGTCCAAAGACGTTAAACGAAATCTCAAGTGCATGAGGGCAGCCTTAGGACTTTGAGATCCTGAAGTGCTTTCTACCACTAACACTGGATTCACTCAACATAGTTTAACATGAAATACACTTGATATTTGAAAACTTGGCGGCCAGTCTCCACGGTATTTCTCCACTTGGTTATAATAGCCAGAACTTACTGTTAAAGGCGATCTAGAGGTGAGGTCAATTAAGGCAGAATGATAATTAATGAGCAGAAAAAAAACACCAAGAAGACAGGAAAGATGTGGGATGTAGAGAAACTGCTGGCTCCATAATGTGATGTGAGATGCCTCGGGTGACTGCTCTATGCGCTGCACCGAGAGCCCTGGGTAGCACTTTCCACACTCTGCAGGGCCGAACGCTCACACTCCACAGAGCTGGACCCACCTGGGGCTGTGAGAATCAGCTCGCTGATGATGTGCGCTGCGTGCGTGACACCGATCCGGAGGGCCCATGACCTGGGCAGCTCTTTCTGGACTAATCCCATCATCTGAGGGGCCAGGTGAGAGACCGGGGATTAGAAAAAAGCCAACGTTAGAAGTGAAACAAAGATTAATGCTGATATCCCCAATCAATTATTCTTACCCGCGGTGCCAAAAGGGCAACAGAATAACTGCCAGCTCCAGGGACTCTTTGGGAGTGAGTGGGTTGAATAGGAAAGAAAATGTGTGTAATTATATTTGTTTCGCGTATTCAGGCCATGCTCAATTCTTATGCAATTACCAGCCCATTAAAATATATATATCATTAAAGACTAAAAAAACTTGACTTAAAAAAGCCAACTGGGGTCAGAATGCAACGGCAACAGCTTCCAGGGAACAGTCCTGCCACTTTTCGCTCTTTCAGGACACACATGAACAGTTGCTCATTAAGGGCAAATTTATAAAATTATAAAATTGGTCCTTTATTCTGAGAATGTTTGCTTTGTTAGTTTTAAATTATCTCCAATACAACCAAAAAACTTAT